TTATTACTACAAATAATGTGAATGTAAATTTAAATATACAGTAAACCTTCATAAGTGCACCCTCTATAAATGCACGCTCTCTCTAAATGCATACTCAAATTCTGGCCTAACTATATATATGATCTTTATAAATGCACTTTTTTCTTGTTGTTCTTTAAGTGCATATTGTTAAAATTTGGTCCCGAGAGCACGCACTTATGGTAGTTTTACTGTATTAATCTAACAACAACTTTTGGCTATTTAATAAAATCTTCAAGGTATGTAGAATATTGCTATTGTTAGTATTGTTAGTTGAGCTGAATATTATATATCTTAATAAACATTATTAAATATACCATTAAAAATACAATTTTTATCTTTGCATATTCTAAGTTGAATATATGCTTAAATTCTGGCTATACTATATATATGATCTCTATAAATGCACCTTTTCTTATTATTTTTTGTTAAAATTTGGTCCTGAAAGCATGCGCTTAAAGAGGTTTTACTGTACTGTAATAAAAAATGTAATATCAAAACAAACAATAATTACAACACTCTAAACCCAATTATGTTACTCTTGTCTTTTAATTATCGATTGCAACTTCTGATTCATGATTTCTATAATTTCTATAATTTTATGATTTTGCAAAGTGTTATAAAAGGACATGAGTTCGTATTAGAGATAAAAAGCTTGGTAGATAAATAATAAATTACTTGCCATCTTCAATAAAATTCATTAATTCTAAATGCCAAAAACTATTTCTTGAATCCCATCATATTGTAATTGTAATTGAACCATCATAATGGGTCGACTAAATTCACGAAAGAAACAACTTAAAAATAATCGAGAGTCGCGAGTATGTGAACAAGAGGAAATATTTAAGAATATTAAAAATAATTCCTTAATAGTACTTAATCATTTGATTCCAATTAAATGATGACGATTTTAGTTCTATAATAAAAAAATTACTGAATCTCGAAAAATGAATTTTAATGATCAAAAACATTTTCTTGATCATCTAATTCCAATATTCGCTCATCTAAATGATGACAACTTCATTTCTAGGATGAAAAATATCATTGAATCTCGAGAAATAAATACTTGTGTTCAAAAAGAGTTGCTTGATCAACTAATTCCAACATTCGCTCAACTAAATGATGACGACTTCATTTCTAGGATAAAAAATATCTTCGAATCTCGAGAAATAAATACTTGTGTCTAAAAAGAGTTGCTTGATCAACTAATTCTAACATTCATTCAACTAAATGATGATGACTTCATTTCTAGGATGAAAAATATCTTCGAATCTCGAGAAATATATATTTGTGTTCAAAAAGAGTTGTTTGATCAACTAATTCCAACATTCAATCAACTAGATGATGATGACTTTAATTCTAAGATAAGAAAAATAGTTGAATCCTGAAAAATAAATACCTATATTCAAAGAAAACGTAATGACATATTTATACGTATTTGTAATTTACCTGATCAACAAGTATGTGATGCATTAAATCTTCTTCAAACTATGACCTATCTTCAAGGAAATCATAAAGGAGAGATAATTTCTATATATTTATAAAAAAAGGCATGTGAATTTCTTGACACTAGTTTTTATAAACACGGTTGCATTATTAATATGTTAGAATTAGAAAATAAAAATCTAAGACAAAAAAATAAACATTTAAAAAAAAATAAATATGTCACCAGAGCTCGATATCATTCATTCTCTGTACGAATAGCAAGAGCAAAACAGTCAAGACTAAACCGAGTTTCAAAATTTCGATCTGCTATTCGTAAAGCCAAACAAATTCGTCTTGCTTAATTTCAACGTGTAGCCAGCAAATTATTTAAATCTAATAATAAAGAGTATAATGCCAATTTTGTAAAATTAGCTACTGATATAAGTAATATAGGGCAAACCTTAATACACACAACAGTAGAATGTACTAAAACCATATATCAATTCTTGACTGGAGAGACGCCACAACATTAGATAACATCAATGACTTTGTCATGATAGAATAATGAAATTGCAGCTATAACTTCTAATCAAAATAGTCCTAAAGAGACTTCTTCTAGGTTTTTCAGTTATAGTATTATGGCCGATAAAAGTACGCGGGGTGAAAAGAAAGTATTAATTATTTGTTTTTCATATTGGAATAATATTAAAGAAAAGCCAATAATTACCGTTACCAAAGTAACCGATATAACACATTGTAATGCAGAAACAATTTTGACTACGGTATATGAAATGTGTAAACAAAAAGGAATTGATCTCCAAATGTATCATTTTTGGCTAACTGATAATACGGCTTATATGTCTTCAGAGGCCAATAGTACAATCGCTAAATTTAATTTATTAGCAGCTTCCAAATCATTTCGAATACCTTGTGGATTATATGCAACCCATATTTCTCTAATGAATTTTGAAAATAAAGTATTTGGTAAGTTAGATACTATTAAGAGATTATCATTAAAAGAACATCCATTTAATTTACTTAATCTTGCTTTTTATCTTCATGATGGATACGATCTTTCAGATAAGGACAGCCCGTTAAATCTAAAATCTGAAATAATAAAAAAACTTTATAAAGCGCTTTTTAATTTTGAAATGAGCAAGTATCAACAACCTATTCGCCAACGGTGGTTATTTGAACTTAAAACTGCAAACAATACCTTGATAGATGCAAAACTCATATTTGTTTTGCACAATTTTTTATCAAACAACTTGAAAATGCCAAAAATGTTCCAAAATCATACTTACATAAATAGAAAACTTTTCTTAAATAGCTTATAGATAAACAACTTAATCTCCAAATACAATGCCTTGTTAAATTCGGTCAAGAGTTTTATGAACCCATTTACAATTTTTTAATCAGACATGACCCAACTCCACAAATCTATCAG